CCCTACATCAATTTTTTTCCTACAGCATTACTAACAATAAATGCTTTCTAGTATCAAAAAGTACTGACAGATCTTCCTCAACTGTCATAGTCTTACAGTATCAGTTAAACATAGTAGTATGGCATGTATCATGTAGAGCAAAGAAACAATAACTCTTTATTACATAGCAAATGACAACAAGAAAAAGGTAGGGCTTGCATCTCATCTCTTAGTAAAGAAATCAGCTTATGTCTACCCCAACTTTAAAAAGAATTCCTTTGGGAAAAAAAAAAGCTTAATGCCATTCATTGTCCTTGTATCTCTCGTCATACATTAAGAACAGCTGAAAATATGTTGCCTCACAAATCACTGCTGTTTTTGAGCAACTCTAAAATGCGAAGACATTCCCATCATTTTATTATAACTCAAAAAGATACAGTAGATTCTGAATTACCAACAGGAATTAATGATCATAAATTCAGAATTTCAAAAGACTTGTAATAAAATAATAACTTCACCTTTTCACGGTTTGAATAATTATGTTCCAATTATTACTGTTTCCTAGATAGGAAATACTCTTAAAATAATTTTTATGTAGTTGGCTCCTTGCTAAATTCTCTTCAAATAATCCATTGCTTTAAAATACACTGGGCAAATTTTCTTTCATTACTTTCATCAGTAGACCAAATAAAACATAAGTAACATGTTTATGCTCCTTTTTGGATGTTTGTCTGTACATAATTGAAAACTTCTGGACAATCTCAATTATATTCAAAAGCAGTTGTACAGAGTCAATACAGTGCAAAAGGAAAAATCTTTGATAAAAAATTCCAGGAGGGAAAGTGGCAACATTTGAATGGGAATATCATTTGAACATTATTCAGTAAGGTATAGGATAAGTAGATTGCTGTGATCCACACTGAGATTCTAAACTTTATAAGTCTCTCCAAAATACAAAGGACCAGATATTTTCATACAGACAATTGTGCAAGGATCAGAAGCAGGAGAAAACATTATAAGGAGAAACAGAGGTACTGATGCACATTAAAAAGAGACCTAAAAGGGAAAAAGGAGAGCAATAACTTCATCATCATCTCAGTGATCTTGACCTTTCCACAATATCTTCTATGATCTTGGGAAAAAAATTTCTTAAACTCTTCTTGGTCTCCACCTGCAGGGAGCTTTTATTCCCTGTTTGGAATGGATACTGCCAAGCACATGGACACAGAATTTCTGCAGAAAGATATGCACTTCCACTGAAGAGCATCCTTTTTTTTTTTTTTTCTCCCCCTAAACTCCCCATTCAGAACAGCTTGAACAAACTGCTTTAAATAAGACGCTTCAAATGAAGGGTAAAAAGAAATCTAAGTATTAAAAGGGTGCTTCCTTTATTAAATTCTGTCATTCCTGTGCAATGAATAAGGCAAGGATCCCGTGGAAAAAAAGAAAAAAAGTAGAATGTAAACCTATAATTAAATACATATGCACAATGGAGCAGAAATTAAAGCGTATGAATAACACTAACTTGGACATTTCTTAATTTCTTACCACTTCATTTTACAGTTACAAATTAGTCACTGTCCTCCCACTCCCCATAGAGAGAAAATTCATTTCAAAAATAGGGTATTTTGAATGCAGAATAATTTTGAGGAGGAACAGGACACATTACTGAGTAACTTCAACAGTGAATGAGACAGGAAGCTCATATGTTATTCTATATGCATCCTTTCCTACGCACATATACCAACTCAGTTTTACAAGCCTCTGTAGAAACATCAGAACTGAAAAACCATATATAACCTTCATATGCACCAATCATGCAGAATAATGAGGATCATCTATTCAGCAGAATGTTTCCACTCAGATTAAATGCTTTCATTCTCCAAGACAGAAAAATACGGGAAGTTGGTTTAACTGTGCAATATAACCCATTCACAAAAATGAAGAGGAAAAAAAAATTCATTGAAGCACACAGGCATCAAGGAGATCCTTCCTTTTAAAACACCAAGTTTTCATCACCTTCTTTTGAAATGTTAGAGTTCTCTTTATGAAAACAGGCAAACTCTCAGCTACCTGAAAAGTTACATATTCCCATTCAGTTTCTTTTTGTGGGTTTTTATTTTTAATGGCTTATCCATATCTAGTAAAATTTTCAGGAAACAGGATTTGTTCCTTGCCTGGACTTGCTGGTACCACGTTTTAGTTGAAAGGATCAACTAAATAGTTTCAAGAATCTGAAACAACCCATGGAAAAACTTGAGCAGCTTTAATACAAACACTGCAGTTTATTCTCTTTGAAAAATCAAAAATCTTCCAAAACTCAGCACAAAAGTTTGAAAGTGAAGCACAAAATTTTAATTTGGTCATTATTAGAAATAATGAATTTTAAAAAGAAAGCAAAATGATGCCTAATTGCAATCTGACATTAGAGAAGCTAAATTGAATCAAGCATATTGCTCCTGCTAAGCAAATGCACTTAGATTAATGACAACCTAATGATCTAAAGCAGTTTCCTATTTCCCATTCATAGTAGGTACCTATTATTAGACATAGGAGTTAGGTTTCCAAATAGGGCATGCAAATTTATCTTTTCTGAGTCTAAGGAAGATCAAACATTTTAAGAGACACTGAAAACATGCTGCTCACTGCTTTAAGTATGAACTTGCTAACACAACATTCTATTTCATACTTGCACTTCTCAAAGTATCAAATGGTCAGAAAAAGAATTTCCACTCTTTTACTTACTGTTTATCAAAAATAAGTTTGGAACCAGGCCTTAAAGCAAGAAGCACAAGCAAAACATAATTCAGATCTTAAAATATAGTAAAAAAAAAAAAAAAAAAAAAAGTCTCCTAAGATCCAAATTGCTTCTGCTTTATGTATCAGGAGACATCTTGATCAAGACAAGCCTTAGCTAATGAGACACTCATTAAGAAAATGGATACACAAATTATTTAAATAAAATACATCTTAAGCTCACTTCAAAAGCTCCTGAAAAGCAGTGACCTATGACACAACTCGACCTACAGGAAGAAGTTCAATTCACTCAGCATTTTTAACTGGAGAACTCTGAAGGCACAGTTTAGATCTCCTCCTTATTCCTCTCTCTGTAAAATTGATGACACTCAGAGATAGGGTAGATACTTTTTTTTTTTTAAAGAGTCCAAGACAGTTAGCCATAGACAGATTAAAAAATGCCCCTACATTACTAGTGACTTGTTTTTAATCCCTCTTCAAACATACTGCTCCCTTATCTTTCCATCAAAACTCTTATGAAGTGGTTTTGTTGAATACTTCCAGCAGGCTATTGTATGCACTGAATCACAAATTGCATGGCCTGAGGCCAGGAAGGAAGGTGTGGAACATGCCTTTACAGGTCAGTTTCCACACACCAAGTTTGTAAGTATTTGAGGGAAGGTTGAGTTACAGCACAGATTTACATAGCAGACAAATTACATGACTGCCCATTCTCAACATTTCATAATTTCAATAAAAAATTGGGTCACAAGGCGGGGGGGGGGGGGGGGGGGGGGGGGAATGGGAAGAAAGGAAGAGAGGTAATAACCTTATCCTCTCATAAAAGTCGGAAAAAATAAATAAAAAATGTACTTAACTGTGGTTCTTGCCAAAACATCAGTTAAGAAAAAAAATTTGTATTAGCAGTAAACACAAGTCTAAAGTTCTGAAGTATTTGCTTTACCATCCCTTTCTAAAAACCTTTCCTTTTTTAATGCTTCAAATCTACCTTAAACGAAGTGTTCTGTATAGCTTTTCTAAAGCAGTCTTTATTATTCTTACTTCAACACATATATATTTTACAAATATGGATGTTATCAAGGAATGTGTTATTCATTTCAGGAGCTTTCATCTACAGTCTGATAGTCTAGCAGAAGTCTTAAGAAAGGGAACTGCTCTTTGTATCGTCTGTCTGGATGAAAAGGAGAATGATTTGAAATAGCTTTTTTCCTCCCTCAGAACATGAAATATAGTACACTTTAAAAAGGGCAGTATTGGCCAGGATCAGCACTGCCTGACATTATGTTTATACTAAAAGGAGACTAAAAATTACAAAGTTCATATCTGGCATTCTTTAAGTACAAATGGGCAAAATAATTAATTTTTAAATTTAATATTTTTTTTAAGAGAAAGATAGAACAATATTTTCACAATCACAACAAAAATACTTCCCCAACAGCAGCTATGGATATCATATCATAAACCAAAAAATCTAAAAATTGATCAAGTATTCATCTATATATCTGAACTTCATTTAGCTTACCAGCCTAATACTTGAAGACAAATTCCCACTAACACCATATACTGCACAGCTAAAATATGCAAATCCACTAACCCAGACAGCTTTCAGGGTTTGTTTTAACACAGTCGAGCACTTACAGGGTTTGGACTGGCACACTGCTGATACTTTTATTGAGCAAGCAGAAAGAATAAACAGAGAAATGACTGGCTTCAATAACTGGACTTAACATTATCTCAGTTTCTAAAAATGACAAATATGAAATTTGACTAATTCTCAGCAGTACGGAAGAAATTAAACTGCCTTTTCTTTCTTTTTTTTTCCTTTTAAAAAAAGGACCACGGTCCTAAGGAACTCTTGAACAATTTTTTGAACGTCAGCTCAGTTTTTATGGGCATTTGATACTATTCAACTAAAAAGAGCAGGAAACAGAGCTTTTTGTGGAATCTGGTATTTTTTCTTTTTAGAAACACAAAGTCTGAGGGATTATTTTTATCAAAAGCTTCAGCTTTTAGCATTCTGTAGCCCTGCAGATAAAAATTCAAAGGAAAAATACTTTTTTTTTTTCCCCTGTGACACAAAAGAAACTTTTGGGATCATTTCAGAAGGAGACCAGAAAGCTTGTCTAACAGAAAATGGTTCCTACCCAGCAAAGCCCTCCAAACAAAGAGCTGCAGATGCACAACTGGTATTAATAACAAAAATCTCCTCCCTCTGTTAGTCAAGAGAGGACAGCTAAGGACAAATGCAATTTCAGAGTACTTACCTACTCGGAAGTTAGTGGCTGTCAGCGTGTCAGCAGCATGGCCATTCTCACTGATGAGGGTGGTGGTATTTCCCTTCTCACAGTTGTTCTGACAGTTGCCCTTGGTACAAGTCACTTTGCAGATGCTGGGTGTAAAGACCACCTTGATGCGACCAGTGTGATTTCCCACTGTCAGTGGAGGCAAAGAAAAAAAGAAAAGTAAACAGACCACTTTGGTATCCATTGATTTCCTTCAAAAAGTTTTTTGGGAAAAAAAAAAAAAAAAAAAAAAAAAAAAAGGCGGGGGGGAAAAAAAGGCGACAGGTCTCCAGGAGGAGGGCAGTCTGCAGTGCTCTCTCTCATAGATCTCCAGTGGTGTCTCTGAAACAGGAGTAGGAAGCTTAGCAAACAGAGCTCTGGGATACGCTCCAAAACCACATTTAAAGTCAAGTCACTGGAGTGGGATTAGTAATCACAATGCTGCACTTTATTCACAGTCAGACAAAGAGCAATACCAAGGGCATGACAGCTTAAATAGCCAACCCTGACAGGCAGATGTAATGTAAAGAGGCTGGCTGTGCACCTAGGGGTGAATAAACTCTTGTGTCCTCCCGCATACTTTTCCTGTTTCTGCACTTATTAAGTCACTATTTGTAGCTCGACCCCTGGAAATGTTTTAGGCATGCGGCATGTCTGAAAACATCTGTCTCAAATCTCCTGGCACCCCAGCCTGAAGTGGTCAAACCTTGTGACGCAGCTGCCTGGACCCATTTTTTCACAGTTTTTTGGCACCATTTTTCCACAAGTATTTACATATTATAGGCTGTGAGCGGAGCTCAGTCTTTCTTTAAGTAATAAATAGCTCAGTCAGAGAAAAGGGTGAGGAGTGTCAATAGCTGGAAATACTCGTTCTGAGCTCAAAGGAGGAAAAAAAGAGCTATTTTAAAATGTACTTCCATACAGACATTTAAATAACTTATATGTAATGAGGACTGAGTAAACACTAACTTCAAATTAAGCTAATTTGAACAACTACTTGTTGTAGAATTTGATTGAAAACCAGATGCATTTAATTCCAAATCTAACAGCAGAATGCAAAAAAGATTAAAACTGCTAATTAGTAAAATTAAGGGAAAAGAACAGGTGTTATTTACAGTTATTTACAAAGAAAACATTTTGTCCTCTGCACACCTACTAATAACTCCAGTAAGTTCTAGAAAACATAGTATAGTGTCTCTGAGAACACTATAACCATAAATACTTTTATAACAAAACTAACAATCCCTAGAAATGATGCACAGGAATAGAAGAACCTCCCTCGTACTGCTATAGAAGTTCTTGGACAGTCATACAACCTAGTTACAGAATACCCCTCCAAACAACTTCTATTTTATTTTTAAATCTCAATAAAATGAAGAAAACCTTTCCACTTCAAAAGAATATAAAGCCTCTTATTTTTGGCTCTTCATAAACAAATAAATTAAAGCAATTGAGCCAACTGTTTTGTCTACAGTAAAGGCATTGCTCTATTTGAACAGCAGCTGCATTACAGATGCTACCACCTTATTCAGACTGAAAAAGTGCTTCGAAGCAGATGAACACAGACACAGAAATAAATGTTTCAGTTAAAGGCTAGTACTGTAATTTTGGTCAACTTAGAAGACACCGTGATTCTTGGATGTCACCATATCTTAAAAGGTTATTAATACAGCTTTCCCAATGAACAGAGATCTAGTAGCTTGTGAACTGTTGAGGCTAGAACTCCTAGGCTTTCTTTTTGTTAAACAGAGCTTCACAAGCCATACTGCTCTCTTTGTATTTTATTTATATGATTTTATATATATATATATATGTACGTATGTATTGTATATATGTGTATATATATATATTTGTATATATACATACATGATCTCCAATGAGATCTCTATATCTCTGTATATCTTTTCCTAGAAGAGTCTAATCCATTTTCTATTTTACATTTTCAAATGTTTTAGTAACATTTATTTCCTTCAGGATGTGATGTAATTAAAAAAACATGGTTCATTGAGTCACAAAAGTCAGTCTTGCCTACACTATAAAAACTACTGTATTGGGAGACCCACACAAGTTTTCCAGCTTTGGTTAAAAAAAAAAAAGGAAATAAATTGTTATTTAATTCTCTCTCATAATATTTTCTACTACACTGTGGAGTCCTAAGCTCTTAGAGAACTTGGGCACAACCTTAACAACTAATACTTTTTTTTAAAAAACTCAAATTTCATCTCATAGTTCACATTTCATCACAAAAAATCTGCAGTATACTTCTTTTGGCAGAAGACATGCTTAATATGAGACTGAATGGAAATTGCAAATTTGCCTCTCGTCTAATTTTGGTGAGAAAACTTTGGAATGTAAATTTGGGAGTAACAATAAGGAAGCAATAGTTGAATGACACATTCATAACTACTGGCCAGTATCTACAGAGGTGATTATCCATGAAGCAGTATTAAATGCAGGCTTCTGGTGGACCAAAAAGACCAAAAACTATGCAATATAAGCCCTAGCTCCTACAAATATTTGAATACTTATTCAGCAATGCCTTTGTAAGAGAACCAGTTCAATTCTTATGGCTATTCTTTATGGCTATTGCTTTACCAGGAGCAAGAAATAAGACTTTGTATTATTTTGACACCAGAAGATTTTTCCCACCTTTCTCAGATTTACAAACGATAAAGAAACTTGTATCTTTTCCTCCACTAGCAACTCACTGGTTTTAACTTTCTCATTTCTTCTTGAGATATTTCTTAAGACCTCTGAGCTGAAAGTTAACTAGTGTATGAGGAGCCAGCAGATTCAAGGCATACACACCATCTTCATCATTCTCTGTAGTTGCACCATGGAGACAGAACTATCCTCACACAGTCTGAGGTTCAGAAATGTTAATGGTGAGCATAATACACGCAGATTTAAATTGAAAACAGACTGCAAATCCTCTTGAAAGGAAGCACTTGGCAAAAGTGCTGCAAGGTTAGCATCTTGGACTTCCTCAAATCCTCTCCCCACCATTTTTTTTCCCCCTTTTTTCCAGTGGGTGGGTGGGAGGGGGTATGTATCTGTGTGTGTGGTTTTTTCTCTTTTCTGTAAAGGGGGAAGATTTAATCCCAAATGAGAAACAATATCCTTCTGTACTACTTAGATGGTTTGGCTGCGTGAATGTTTAAGTCACAATTTCAAGCAAGAAAAAAAGCACATAACTGCCATAACCTTAAACTCCTTTCTACTTGGACTAGTTTGTGTAAAAGAGGATACAGAATTTTTAAGGTTGCACACACAGATGATTTTCATCTTTAAATTCCAGAAGCTTTAACTGATGATGCCACTGTGACATAGGTATAAATGGATCTGCAACTTAGATTATCTCAGATTCACTTCTGGAGAAAAATGAAGGTGCTACAGCACCATAACATACCTGAAATCATTATTTTTATACAGAGCGATAAACGTATCAAACTCTCCAAAATGAATTTTTAACACATGGAAATGAAACACCTTACTCTGTTCTTAAGTACAACAACAGATTGTGACAAAATATCACCATGAGACCAGATAAATAAATGAGCTTAATGAAAGAAAACACAAGCAGAATATATAAACACCAAATCAAAAAATTACTGAAAAAAATAATATATATATATAAATATTATATATATATATATATAATATTATTATATATATATATATATATATATATATTTTTTAAACTAGAGACAAAGTCAGATTGTTGATTTACTAAACATAAGGCAATCAGCATTTTCTTGCTAATCTTTATTCCTGAACTGGACAGTGAGTTTTGTAATGGTGAGACTCAGGCAACTGCCTCATTGCCCTGCCCCCTAGCCTACATTTACTCATATTTAAGGTCTCTTAGATGCATCTGTCAAAGAAGATCAGTGGAAGAATGTACCCATAATTTCCAAAACCCATGAAACTCTCTTGGGACAGACTGAAAAAGAAAGATGTCTGGATAAACTGATGAGATTTTAGTTGAAAATTGGCATCACGTATGTGTGATATTTTTTCCATCTCTGTAAGTAACTATGATAGAATATTATGAGCACAGCAAGCTCCTGCTGTGATAAATTTATGATCTAACAACAACAACAACTGCAGGATAAATGGAAAATAGAAGTAAGAGGATTTCTTCATAGAATCCCTTCCACCCTTGCACTGTCACAACGCACTGATTTTTTTTTCTGCGTTAGCCAGAAAGGTGGATAAAAGGAGACAGCTGGAAAGTTTTAGGTCCAGGTAGTCACACAGCCACAGTTCACGCAGCCATTCCTGGGCAGACTTATACAGGAAGAAGATTCCTAAAGAATCTCCTGGGTCCCTTTGTTCATAAGGCTGCTGCTCAGCCTTAGCTTCTTTCTAGAAGAACTTGTATAAACACTTTTTTTTTCTTCGTTTTATGACTGCCCTCACAGCTCCAGCATTCTGCAGAGATTTAACTAGACAGTATTCAATAGCTGTAGTGGATCTCAGAAGATTTGTGGCACGTCCCTGCTCTGAAGGAAGACAATAGACTAGTGAAAGCAGAACTGGTATTCTGGTAAAAAGACGACTACACTGCACTGTCTCATAGCTCAAGTGGGGCAAAGAGAAGAACATATTTTAATGTGCTGAAAAAAATATTATATTATTGTGTGCATAATGTTCTCATGCTTCATGGTGATTTAATCAAAGGAGTGCATTTATTCACTATAAAAAACAAGCAGGGGTTTATACTGCAGACTTGGCTGGTGGGGCTTACTCTTACCTCTCACATAATCCTGGCACAAAAATTTCTTCTGACTACTGTTAGTGTTGTGGTGGGTTTTGCTGTTTTTCATCTTTTTGGGTTTTTTTATTTATTTAAAAAATATACTGAGGAAACCAAACTACTTGATCTGGAGGCTTCCCATTAATACCTCCAAAAATGATGTGAACTCAGTGTTTTCATAACACTACCTACTTTTGCACTGAAACCAGTGTGTTTTCATACACATATCTGCACAGCAACTCATAAGGCCTGAAGGTTCTACCTCTGAAAAAACTTATACCTGCTTATTCCCTTTGTGACAGGGTTATCTCAGACAGTTTCCTATGTTTTCCAAGCAATAGCCATGATGAGTGAGGAGAACTTCAGAATGCCAATCTATTTTCCCATATCA